CTGGTTGTTCATTACCCACTTCTAGTACAGCGAGCGTCTCACGTTGGATACGCGAACTACGGTTGAACTGTGCTGTAATGGTGTAGCGATAGAACTCCGACGAGTTCACCACGGCTTGGAAATAGCAGAACGGCTGGCTGGCAATGAAGGTCTCGTTGCCGTGTGCGAAATATGGGGGGTCCGAAGTCACCAGGTACTCGTAGCTGAGAAAGAAGAAATCTGGTCTTGGCGCCGTCAAGTTGGCAATGGTGTCGTTCGATTTGAACGTGACAACATCTGCAGAGGACAACGCGTCAGCAAACATAATATATTATACATGCACATGTTCGCGTGTGGGCACGCACGTGCGCATAGGTATGCGCATTTGCAACAACCCACCCAACCGCACAGACGCATGCACGCACGAATGTAAACACACACACGCACACACACACACACACACAAATACAAACACACACACACACACACACACACACACACACACACACACACACATAGGAGGCATCGGCAGCAAGAACCGGGGTCCTGGCAATTTTTCGAAATGCCAATATTTGCGAAAAAACCGAACCGATGTCGTTTTTTAGTCACCACGATCAAAGCGGAAAGACTTCTTGCGCTATCGCTTTGAAAGTGCTTTCCTCTTGGTGGCTTCCCTAAAATTTGTTGTCATCGCAGTTGTAGTTTATCCGCCAAGCACTCGGGCCGTCCAGGTAGGCGTTTTCAGCCACCATGGAGGCGTTTGCGCTCAGGGTAGCGTCTGCAAATCTTGCGCTCAAAAGAGAGCGGAACAAATAATTTCTTGGCGGAACGATCCAGTCACAAATTCTTGATGGAGCACGAGCGACTAGAATATTTGGAAGCTGGATCTCCAGAGATACTCAGCTGCCTGTGATAGTCCCCACAAGAAGGATCAGGTGAAAGTGAAGAGGTTTCGCTCAGATGACAAGCGATCAGCGGAGGCAGCGCAGACGATGAGTTTGAGAGCTCCGTGACACGAAGTGGCGATGCGGACACTGAGAGTGACGAACGAGATTCAGTACTCTGTGGCGACTATTTACAGCTGGATAAGTTGGTGAGATACGGAGACAGCCCTGAATGAACGAAACCTGACTTGATACAAAATATTTTGTGAACAAATTTGTTGCAAGTATACATGCACGCTTGCTTTGCGCATGAAATTTGTCACAGTATAATACATGTATCTATGAGCTGCTGTGCGTAGGAGAGCAAGACATGCTTGGTGGATGTATCTGGCTTGGCCCAGCATGCATATCTAGTCTTGTACTAAGTTGCAGATTCTTCCCAGCCATGTAAAACGTCAGTTGCTTGGCTTCTTTCTGTCTGGGAAGTCTGCATACAACACCAGACCTGCACATGACAGGGATTGAGTTTTCAAGTAACATTGCAGCAAGTGCAGGCAGCACTGTTACTTTAATACCAACTAGAGTACTCTGTGCTTCCCTGAAGACCTATAAATATGCTAAATTATTCTCAACCACTCCATTAGGGCTAGCTGTAACTGCGTTCCTTTTTGCCATTTTCGCTGACCATTTTTGTTGACCGTCACCCATCATTTCGGGCGTTCTGTTTACCATCTTGCAAGGTGCCCAGAGCTCCAAAATTTGGCCCATAGATCACTCGTTTAGTGGACAGTTCAAAGCCATCAAAAACTCATTTTCGCCAAATATCACCTAAATGTGGGCTTTGCGCAGCAAAGCCTAGTTAGCCCATGCACACGCATGCTGGTGGTGGAGTGCTGCGAGTGCGTGTCATGTGACCACCTCGTGATTAAGCCGTGTGCGCCGTGTGTGGCCTGGCAAAATTTTACGGACAATGGATCCGGGGTCTAATTATTTGGAGACGTGTTTTGCTGAGCTGTCTTTGTGCGAAGGAGCGTTCTTTGCAGTTGCAGTTTCGGTGTCAAGTCAAAGTTTTTTGCAAGTCAAAGTTTTTTCTTCCTTCCGAGGTTTCCCCTTTTCTCCGTTACTTGCTGAGATGAGCACCCGATGTGTCGCGACCCGCAGCATGGCTGCGCGAGCTCCTCCTGCTGCTGCAGCACCCCCTGCTCCCCCAACCCGCAGCATGGCTGCTCGAGCTCCTCCTGCTGCTGCAGCACCCCCTGCTCCCCCGGCAACGCCGGCTCCGGCGCCTGGGTTTTCTCCTTGCCAAATGGCAACCCTCCAGGCCTTGATCGCCACATCTGTCCAGGCGGCTGTTAGAGCCGTCGCCCCTGCAGCCTCGGGTCAGGCGGAGTCGACACGCCGTCCGTCCCGCCCGGCTGCCCCTGCCAACACTGCCGATCCTCGGGTGCAGGTGGAGGAGTCGTTTCCTACAGGTACGGGTGTGTAGTAGAAGTTCCACACGTGTGCCTACTAGTGCTAGCCTCCCTACCCCTGTGGCTGCGTCGACTGTCGTCGACGGGCTGTCTCCCCCTATACCTAGTGGTGTGACTATCCATAGCTCTCGTGTGCCTACTCCTAGTCCTAGTGTGAATATCTCTAGCAGTCTCCCGTACAATGATTTGTGTGTAACCCTAGTGCTGTCAATGTCGGGTCCCGTAATGGGGTGACTGACCACGTGCCCCGTAGTACGTACGACAAGGTGCTGCGCGGGGAATATGTGGAGCTTGCGTTGTTCCTCACCCCCCTCGCAGACGAGCCAGCCGCAAAGCGAGTCCGGGTGTCAGAGGATAGTGGCCAGCTAGTGCTCTCCCCGTCCCTGCCATCCCACCGCAAGCTGGAGAGCCTGCCCGTTTGGCTGGAGGCATGGTCGGTGTATTGCGCACTGATCTGCGACACCCAACCCGCAAGGGCGGTGTCGCTGATCACATATCAGCTTCGTATCATTCAAGCGGCGAAACGATATAGGTGGGCGGCGGTGTGCCAATATGACGAGGAGTTCCGTCGGAAACTCGCCCACAGCCCTGGCATGCAGTGGGATGTGGTGGATCAGGACCTGTACACCCGCTGTTTCACAGGCCAGGCGCTCGTTCTCTGCCCGCTATGCAAGCGTCTCGGACACACCGCCAACACCTGCACCTCCCGGGACCAGCGCAAGCCCGGCACGACCCAGCCAGCGTGCGAGCTCCACAACAAGGGCCGGTGTAATTTTCGGAACTGTAGGTATCGCCACGTCTGCAGCTCCTGCGGAGCTCCCGACCACATCGCCACCCAGTGCGGGGCTCGCGCCAGCCAGTGAGGCCCCGGCTAGTCCGTACCCTGCTTTATCCACGCACACACCTCACACTCCTGTTGTTTTTAATGCATTCATGTCTGATTCGCACGCACATAGACACCCTGCCTTACCCACGCACACCCCTCACACTCCAATTGTTCTGCAGGCATTGGAAATTGAATTGCTCGCACACCCTGATCCTGCATTTGTTGCCCATTTGTTAGATGGTTTACGATATGGTTTTAGAGTTGGCTATGACGGTCCCCGTCATTCTTTGCTTTGTGAGAATCTTGCTTCGGCATTTGTTTCCCCTGAGATTGTTTCAGCTTACCTCGCTAAAGAGGTTCAGCTTGGTCATACGGCCGGTCCGTTTTGGCAACCCCCGTTCGCCAACTTCCGTTCGGCTGGCATCGGTGTCATTCCGAAGAAGTCAGGTGGCCACCGCCTGATAGTGCATCTGTCCGCGCCGGCCGGCGCTAGTATCAACGATGGCATTCCCGAAGACCTGTACAGCCTCGAGTACATTACTGTGGACGTCGTCGTGGGGCACGTGATCCGTCACGGCAAGGGCGCGCTAATGTACAAGGTGGATATCCGCCACGCGTTCCGAAACATCCCCGTCCACCCACACGATTGGCCCCTCCTAGGCATGGTGTGGGACGGGCAGTATTATTTCGACAAGGTCCTGCCATTCGGGCTGCGGTCTTCCCCGGCTCTCTTCAACCTGCTGGCAGATGCGCTATGCTGGATACTCCGGCACAACTATTCCCTGGCCGACCTCGAGCATTATCTGGATGACTACATCGGCGTCGCCCCGCCTAGCCCCTCTCCATCGTCATCTACCGCGCCATTCAACAAGCGACGCTGCTAGCCGTGTTTGAGAACTTGGGCGTTCCAGTGGCTATCGGCCAGGACAAGGTCGTCCCTCCAACGACTGTGATGACTGTGCTGGGGATCGAAGTTGACAGTGTGGAGCAGGCGACTCAGCTCCCCCAGGACAAGTTGTCCGCCCTCCACACAGCTCTGGCAACTTGGCTCCAGCGCACCGACTGCTCCAAGCGTGAGCTCCTGTCCCTCATAGGCACGCTGTCCTTCCCCGCCAAGGTGGTCCCCCCGGGCCGCACGTTCATTCGGCGCCTCATTGACTTCGGCACAACGGCTTCCTCCATGTCTGCCCGGATCCCGATCGATGAGGAAGCGCGCCTCGACATCGCCTGGTGGCATCGCTTTGCGGCCGACTGGAATGGGAAGTCCTTTTTCTACGACCAGGCCTGGTCCCGTTCTCCTGACCTCCAGTTGTTCACAGATGCCTCCGGCGAGGGCTACTGGGGCTACTTCCAGGGCGACTGTTTTTTTGGGAAGTGGCCGGATCAGTTCGAATCTCCTCAGCAAAGCGTTATTATGGTTAGAGAAATGGTTCCCATTGCCCTAGCTTGCTGCATTTGGGGTCCGTGCTGGGCAGGGAAGAACCTGCTGTTTCATTGCGATAACGAGGCGGTAGTCAGAGCTTGGAAGAATGGTTCATATAGGAACAAGCAGGCCATGGCGTTGATCCGCTTTATGTTAGCTGTTGCCGCTAGGCACAATTTCATATTGTATATCCGCCATATTGCTGGCACTAATAACGGCATTGCAGATGCTCTTTCTTGCTTGCAGCTGACCCGCTTCCGTCAACTGGCGCCAACGGCGGCTGCTTCGCCGGTGCCATGCCCCTGCCCGACCGTGCTGCTCTAGGCCTCGAGGCTGATGCCCTTGTAGCAGGTTCAGTGTCAGAACGCTCAGCGAGGACGTTCTCCACTGGCATTGATGCCTTCAATGATTATTGCGTTAAACATATTGTCAATCCCCTTGCACCCTCTAAGGAGGATATCATATTATTTGCTACCGAGCTGTCTCGTACGAGGTGTGTGGCGACTGTGCGTGTGTATTTGTCAGCGGTACGGTATCATTTGCTGTGCAAGCGTGTTCCTGTGACGTGTGTGCAGTCCGTCCGTCTTTCTGCAGTTCTCAAGGGCCTTGAGAGGAGGCAGGGTCCCGCAACCATGACGCGGAGAGGTCTCACTGGGCAAGATCTGGCCGACTTACAGCATTTCCTGCTCCTG